ACATCCCAAAGTCAACAGCAGTCTGTGAACCTGTCAGTCAAAGATACCAAACTTGTGCAAAGACTGAGGCCTCAATAGGCCCTTGACTCCCACCTGGAATCCAACACACAGGACCCTCCCCTTTCAAAGTTCTGCAAGTATAAGTTAAATCATGCTAAGTATACAAATGTTTGCTGTTCTGTTTTTGGTTTTTTTGTTTGTTTGTTTGCTTTTTAACCGGGGATTGAACTCAGGACCTTGTGCTTGCCAGCAAGGCATTTATGCCACTAGGCTATATCCCCAGCCCCAAGAACATTTTTTTTTTTTTTGCAGTACCAGGGATCAAACTCAGGACCTTGCACTTGCCAGGCAGGCACTTACACCACTGAGCTATATCCCTGGCCCCGTTTGCTAGTCTTGGTCTGTACTTACTCTGGGTGGCCAGAAGTATTCCCTCCCAGGACTCAAAAGGCCTTTGAAGTATGCGGAGTACTGTTAAGAGAAATTATCCCCAGATATGGGCTGTCCCTGGCCACAGGCAATGACAATGGACTGTCATTTGTTACAGAAATCACCCCAAATGGAATCTCTACACTGCCTATAGGCCCCACTGTTCTGGAAGAGTTGAATGGAGGAAGAGAACCCTGACATTGATAGTGAGCTAATTACTATGAAAAAACATAAACAGCATGGGTAGACCAGCTGCACATGGTTCTCCTAAAAGTCAGGACATAGCCAGGACCCACCAGGTACTTACGAAACTCCAACTCTTACTAAAAAGGTTTCCAGGGAGATCTTTTGTCAACTGGAAATTATCACCTTGCAGAAATAACTTCTTCAGTTAGGAAACACTTTCTCCCAGATACATGAAACCATATCAGAAAGAGCACCCCTTCCCACTGATACACCTACTCATACCCATAACCCAGTAGACATGTTCTGGGTTAAAGATCAGAAAAAAGGGGGGCTGGGGAGATAGCTCAGTTGAATAAGTGCTTGCCAGGCAAGTGCAAGGGCCTGAGTTCAATCCCCGGTTCTGAAAAAAAAAAAAAAAGATCAGAAAAAAAGACTCCCCTAATCCCCCACCCACAAAGGCCCCTGTAATGATTGATATATTTTGTAAACTTGAGAACTTTGTAAATTTCACTCAGGAGAGGGCCAAAGTTCTCAGTTTGTAAACATCCTCATCCTGTGCAAGAGGAGGGCATGGAGATGATGTGGGTGCTACACTGGCCCTGGGGCAGGGCGATAGCCTGCTTATAACATGAGGAAGGAAAAGAGGCTTGCCCCCACTCACGCTTTTGCTCTTGCTGCTTTTGCTGCCTTCTACCACCTTGAACTGTTAGCCCTGTGCCCTGCCATCCTGCTTTGGAGCCAGCTGATTAAGCATTGAAACCTCCACAAACTGCGAGCTACGTCAGCCCTTTCTTCCTTAATTTTGGATGTTGGGCATTTTATCTCAGGAATGAGAGAAAAGTAACCAAGACAGCCTCTATTTAATTATTTTTACTACTAGTGCAATACAAGTGACAGAGATTTAGCCTTGGATTCATCAGTCCAGGATCAAACAGGCCCATCCCAACAACTGCTGGAAGGCCTATCCTGATGGGTCAAGCCCCCTGAAGACCACCATGCAGAGATGATGTACTCAGCACCCTGCTCTCAATGATGTGGAAGCTTGAAGCTCTACACACACTGAAGACTGAATGCACATAGTACACTGGAGGGCCCATCCTAATTGACTGATGTTCTGTTATACAGTTGTTTTGGGTTTTTTTGTTTGTTTGTTTTTGTTTATTTGTTTTTGAGGAACCAAGGATTGAACTCAGGCCCTTGCACTTGCCAGGCAAGCACTTATTCCACTGAGCCATCTCCCTGGCCCCATGTTATCCAGTTTCATTGCTAGTTCCCCTTTTTTTGTAGATGTAGTGCTTGCCTTGGGACTCTGAGCTGTATCCGCAGAGGACTGAGAAGTTCCTCACAAAATTACCCTTGTTCTTGTCCATATTGGTGTAACCTTTGGATTTGGCACCATGAAATGCTGCTCTAACTTTCACAATAGTTGATAATTTTCTGCTGTGATCATACCTATTGGCTGCCCAGTCTAACTCCTGTCAAGTCACCTTGTACTGACACCACATTAGGTTTAATGTCCTGCTACTCTGTTCACTTTCTAGTTCCTTCTCTCCTGCTGACTTCAGTGTTCACATTCACTTTTTGGGTTACAACGCCAGAAGATGAGTTCACACAAAAAGCCTGCATTTAATATCACCTTCATCAATAGCATACTTGGGTTGCTCATCTTTACATGACTAAATCAAAATGAAAATGACTCTCCCATGGATAATATATCGAAATATCCTAGGAATATATAGAAATTGAGAACATTGGGAATCCTAAATTCAAGTTTACAATGCAAGTCCAATAATAATTCTCAAACTAAATAGGACCCTTCACAACCAAGAATATGCTTTTACTTTGACAAATGTCCAATTCAAACCAACACCCCAGGTTGAGAACAATGTTGCTGCTCCTCTAGATGTAGAGGATTAAGTTGGGAAGGAGAATAGTGTGCTAATAATAAATGTATCTATCCAGAGTGGTGAGGAAGCAAACAGTCCTGTAAACTCCCCTTCTTGTCTATGTTCTATCCAGTTGGGGTTGAGTTATAAACTGAGGTGGATGTAAAAACAGCCTTTTGACTCAGCATCCTTCTAGCTCAACCTGCCAACAGGAATTTGCCCCCCTCCCCGTTGCAATACACTATTCCAGATCCCTCCCATCAGAATGGGATCATTTGGACGCCAGATAAGAGTCCAGAGGGATGGACAAGGATTAAGCGATGACTGGTTTAAAGATTGCAAAAGTCTCTCTCTCTCTCTCTCTCTCTCTCTCTCTCTCTCTCTCTCTCTCTCTCTTTTTGTGGTACCAGGGATTGAACTCAGAACCATGTGCTTGCCAGGCAAGCACTTATTCTACTGAGCTATCTCCCAGGGGCCCTGTAAAAGTCTCTTGACCCCCACACACATTAAAATTCCTTCCCCTAAACCACCAACGTTCCCACTGATTCCCACGCCCCCAGAGATCACACAGGACCCCCAACTCCTGATCTCCTGCCCTTGGTCAATGGCACCCATGGGGTCCTTCAAGCTATAAACACAGAAATAGTCTCTTCGCTTTGTGTCTCACTTTCAATTCTTTCATACAAGCTCTAGAACTAACCCAGACTAACTTTGAACTCAGCTCCACTGATGTTCTCTATCACTTACTTCAGCCCAATCCTACAATCATGTGGGGAAATATCTCCTCTTTTCTGAGTCTCTCCAGAAGCCTAAATGTCTCTGCTGACTATATAGATGATCAGCCACTGCAGGTCCCCATTGGGCCCCTGTGGAGCTTTCTCATTTGCTCTGATGGGGTTCATCTAGTGTTTATTCCTACCAACAGGAGCCTTTGTTGGCCTGCGTTTACCTGGTAAGTGAACTTTCTGTATAGTCGGGGCAACGGGGCCCTACATGCCCATCAGTCACATCAAACGGGTGACACTGTAATAATACCATTGTGGCTGGGATAGCTTAACTCTTGGTACCACGCTACGGGTATAAGCCAACAACAATACTCACAGTTAAGTACCCAGAGAGCCCGACATTTCAACAATATGCAAAGTTTAATAGATACTGTCCAAGACCACACAGATTCCCTGGGTGCAGTCATTCTCCAAAATCGCAGAGCTTTAGACCTCTTAACAGCCCACCAAGGAGGAACCTGCCTTCTCTTGGAAGAAAAACGTTGGCACTGTCAGGGTTAGGAAGAGAAAGCTCTGTCAGTTGTGAGAATATCTAACAAAAAAGTAAATATGCCACGGGTAACTTTCCAGTTGGGATCTCTAGGCTTATTCTCCTTACGGGTAGGAGCTTTGCTTGCACCTCTAATGGCTCTTCTGGCATTCTTCCTCCTAGGTCTTGTGCAATCCTGACCAGAATTCTCTCTGAGCACTCTGAAGCCATGTGCTATCTGCTCCTTTTAAGATTTACCTCTTCTTACCAGCTGCTTAAAACTGAAGAAACGGACAAAAAAAGAATCTTCCCATAAAACAAAAGGGGGGGGACTAACAATCTCATACACCACAGAGCCCAGTGAGCCCTGTGCTTCAGTCTGCGGTGTACTGCGCCCAGCTGCTTTTCAGGTAGCCTGACTCAGCTCAGCCGGACCATGTCCAGGTGAACAAACTTCTTTCCCACTAAAAACACATTTTGCTTTTCTAGCATATTTCTTTTTTTCTTTCTTACGGAATCAGGGATTGAACTCAGGCCCTTGCGCTTGCCAGGGAAGCACTTATTCCACTGAGCCATCTCTCCAGCCCCTTTTCTAGCATATTTCAAGGACCTTCTGCCCAAAAACCAAATAGTAATGCATGATTAACATAATCCAATAAAAATCCTCTCTGCTTTCAAACCTTATTTCCAGTGTGTAGAGACCTATATCAACTAAGCCCTAAATTGACTCTGTATTCCCAGCAGCAGCCCGCTGGCGTTAATAAAAAGTTGCCTTCCGGCTGGCAAGAGAGCTCGGTGCACTAAGCGCCTGCTTAGGCAAGCGCAGGGATGGGGTTCAATCCCCAGGGAAGCCAGCGTTAGGGCTCTGAGAAGCGCTGAGTGAGAGAGAACACGTAGAGTTAGCAAACAAAGATCCCACAAATTAGTTATAACTGCGGGTTTCAGTGTGAAAGTAGGTCCCTGACATGGTGGTAAGGCGGGTTGTCACGGATGGTCTACAGGTCAGCAGGGCGCGGGCTGACAGCGCCGCCCAAGTACAGCTGAGGCCACCAAGGCGAGGGAACGGCCCCTTTAAGATGCTAGCTGGAGAAGAGCTGCAGGGCGGAGGGGGAGGCTGGAGCGCCCGCCTGTACCCTAGGATCTTGGATCCGGATGCTGACTAGGTGTGGGGGGTGGGGCAGCGGCTCTGCGCCTGCGGGGGGCGTGGCCACAGACCACGTGAGCGCAGTACCCCTCTACGCTGAGCAAGTGCTTCCTGGGTCGGGTTGTCCGCGGCCCGCCCGGGACAGAGTTGGGGGTGGCGGGGATCGGGAGGTGCGGCGCGTCTGGACCAGGTGCTGTGCCTTTGAAACAGCCCCGACCCCTGAGGCTGCAGTGATCGTAGGGGTACGCGATTGACTGGACGACTGAAGCCGGGAGCGCGACCCTCGGCCAGGGACTCGACCGAGAGAGTGGTGGGCTGAGCCCGCGCGGGAGCCGCGTCGGTCGCCAGCCTCAGAAGGCTCTGTGCTGGTCCAATGGCCCTGATGGCGGCGTCAGCGCAGAGCGACCTGCTGCAGGTGAGCCGGGGCTTCAGTGCTACTGCGGAATTATACCCTGCTGGTCCTGGTGCCAACACAGAAAGGATGACGCTGCTCTTACCCCTGTCGCTATTCCTATCTCGCTGCCCTGACTCGGGTGCTGTGTGGGGGTCTGTTGAGGATCCTGCTTGTGGTCTGGACAGTCTGCAGAGGGGTTTTCCCCCCAGAGCTCTGCGGGGTGAGGGGACAAAGGATTTCCTGAGAATGTGCCTGCACAACAAGCTGGAGGCTGAAACCCAGTTGGGAGTGTCCAGAAAACTCAGTAGCTCTTGTATCTGCAGGGACCGGATAGTACCTCTGGAATCACAGGCTGAGGAGCTGCTGTTGTGAGGCCGTCAGGTGCTGTGGGTGGTTAAAGCACAGGAGGGAGCTGATAGCACTCAGGTCTTACCAGCATCTCTGTGGATGCGGAGTGACAGAATGACAACCAAGTAGCTTGAGGATGAGGGAACAGGGGCCAAGGAGCAGGCCTGCCCCCATCGAGGCCAGTGGTCCTGGTGGCCAGACCAGGAGGAAAGTGTGTGTTCTATCTGTCAGAAACAGCAGTAGGCATGTTCTGTGGTACAAGTATCAAGGAGTCATCAGGAGAGAGAGAGAGAGAAGAGGAGACAAGGTCTAGGGAAAGGTGGAGGAGAGGGGGAGAGCGCTGCAGCAGGAATTTTCGCTGGAAGTAGCAGAAGTTTGGGACATGTGGAGTCTCTGATTCTCCAGAGACCATCAGTAGATTTGAAGAGCGGTGTAGGGCAGATACCCTGTCCAAGGGAGGTGTTAATTGAAGTCCCAAGGGAAAAATCTACAAGTAGGCAATATCTAAAAATAGAGCTTTGGCCCAAGACCCCTGTTCTGTAACCAGACCACCACAGAAAGCCTGCTTCCTTGTGAGTCAGACTGGCAGAATGCTATCTCTGGTGACAAGCCAGAAAGTTAAACCAAATCTTTCATAGTTGTTCTCTTTTTTGGGTGGCTTGATTAATAACTGACAGTTTCTATAATTTTTGTTCTTAGGTCCTATTTAGGACCAACTGCAGAAAACCAAAAATGCTCACATGACCAATCTCAGGCAAGGCCTTGCGTCTAGTTTGAAGCCTCTACAGATACCTTTTCAGGACTGCAGTCCAAAGTCAGGAGCACCCCGGCCTTTCCTTTTGCTTCATGCTCTGCCCTTGCTGGGACTGGCTCTAGGTCTCTGAGAAGCCCTCAGTGAGGGCGGCTGACTCCCTGGCTACAGTAGGCAATGGATAAACAGCCTTAGCTTTTCCTCATTTCCACAGAACATCCAAATCGTGGCTTCAATGTGTGGGCAAGAGCGTATGTCGGATTTAAGGCTGTGAATGTTCAGGCCATGATGCCAGTGTTCCAAGAAGGAAGACTGTGGCCTGGAGGCCTCAAGAGCATGAGATCTTGCTTGAGCACCATATTTAGCTTGTTTGGCATCATGAAAACAAATGATAGAGAGTGCCATGGGTTGGGGAGAGTTGGGACTAAGGAAATATGGTAGATGGCCTAATCCAGTGAGGAGATCAGTGATGAGGCTGACAGTCATGGAGCTGATGCTGCCATGTGGCTCCGAGTGGTGCTTATTCACCAATCTGTGGTCTTCCCGCCTTTTGTGCTGTCTCCTGATAGAGCCGGAGGGTTTTTTAGTCAAGCTCTACAGTTAGGTAGGGACAAATGAGATTGCTCAGATTTGCTGGGACACAGAGAGGTGTAGGGCAGGAGAAAGAAAGAAGGGACTGAAATTCTGATATTTCTTTCAGGAGCAAGCCCACCATGACCTAACTTCCTTCAATTAGGTACCATCTCCCAAAGGTTCTACCACCTACAAGAA